GTGCTGGGATTCGAACCCAGTCTTCTGCAAGAACAACCATGTTTTTAACCACTGAGCCATCTCTCCAGTCCCCTCTTTTAATGTTATGTGTAAGTGCACCCATGTCATGCAATGCCCATGGAGGTCAAAAGAGGGCGTTGTCAGATCCCCTAGAACTGCCATGTGGGTGCTGGGATTTGAACCCAGGTCTTCTGTAAGAACAGCCAGTGCTCTTAACCACTGAGCCATCTCTGCAGCCTTGAGCTAGGGTTTCTTTTTTTTTTGAGACTGGGTTCCTGTAGCCCCAGCTGGCCTGGAGCTCATTGTGTAGACTAGGCTGGCCTGGAACTCACAGAGATCTGCCTCTGGAGTGCTGGGATTAAAGGCGCCCAGCTGGGCTAGGGTTTCTTAATTTCAGGCCAGAGGATATCCTTGAATGGGCTTTTAGTAGAACTGTGAACCCCTGAAATTATAAGAAAATTTTGTATTATCTATTCATCTTGGTGTATTTTTTTATTTTTCTTTTTTTTAAAGACAGAGTCTCTGTACCCCCGGTTGGCCTGGAACTTACTATGTAGACCAGACTGGTCTTGAACTCATAGAGATCCACCTGCCTCTGACTCCCAGGTGCTGGGATTAAAGGTGTGTGCCACCACCCCTGGCATGTTGGTGCATTTTTTAAGAAGGAAATTTGTTTGCCTTTGCTCTTTCCAGTTTCCCAAAAGGACCAGTGACTTCAACAGTAAGCTAACGGCCAGTGCCCTCTAGGGTATTAGGGACCTAATTTGTTTCTCCTTTTATTTTTATTATTAAATGAGTACACCAGCACAATCCTGACCTGGCAGTATGAAGCACTGATGACGGAATTTCAGGGATCATTAAAAATGGAGATGGGATAGATAAGAGGCTCTTTTCATGTTCTTTAAATGTCATAAAGGAGGCATGGCCCTTTTTTGACACTAGTACATGAAACCTGCCTTGTTTATAAAAGTCAGTTCTCTTCTCTGGAAGTCCTGTGTAAAAGTAATATCCCTCTTTGTAAAGCAATATTGCAGGAGAATGCCATGGAAAGCAAGCGAGGTTGTAATTTATTTTATGGACCTTAGATGAAGCAGGCAATTAAGAAAGAATCACGGGCAAGGTGGTGCACACCTTTAATCCCAGCACTGTGGAGGCAGAGGCAGGCGGATCTCTGTGAGTTCAAGGCCAGTCTGGTCTATATAGTGAGTTCCAGGCCAGCTGGTGTACCAGGAGGCCATGTCCCAAAAAGACCAAAAAAGAGAACAAAGAATCATCTTCCTTAATTTTTATTCTTAGCTGATTCTCTCCATGGTGCAGTTACAGGGAATTGTAACTGTTACCATAGAGGGGTATCCCTCATGTTGAGCAGGTTCTCTGAGCTCTGAAAGACTGGAACTTTCATCTGCCCTCTGCTACACACCCCTTCACCCCTCCTGCTTTTCCAGTGCACATAGTGTTAGGTCCCCTCATGTGCCTTTGCACTGTGTGCCTAAGGATGGCAATGTCTGCAAAGAAGACAGTCTCTCGGGTTCAAGGCAGTGTTTTCTGCCATGCCTAAGGATGGCAGTGTCTGCAAAGAAGACAGTCTCTCGGGTTCAAGGCAGTGTTCTCTGCTGTTGCATGCCTTTTAGGAACAAGGGTTCTCTCATCCATACTACAAAAGGCAGAGTCTGGACTGACTATGCCAGCTTTCTCCCAAACACTGTCTACTCACAATTACAGTAGCTGGCAACTGGAGTAGAGCACTAAGCTGTTCATCTCCAGTGGAAAGCTTAAGTAATTTATAATGGCACAGCAGTGTCTGGAGAGGCGTATGCTAGTGTTTTAGTTCTGATTCTCTTCCAGGCCCCCAACCAGCTTCCTGCTGTGCATCATGTGGTCCTCTTCCCCTTTCCACTTGGCGCCTCACTAAATACCATTTCTTTTAAAATTTCTAAGACAGACAACATTTTCATGTTTGCTAAGTAGTAAAGGAATGGTAGGAAAATACTTTGGAGCAATCCCAAGTCCCTATCGAGGGGTGACATGCAGAGGAAGGGGTAGGGTGGGAGAACAGGGTTTATAGGAGGGGCGGAGGCTCCTGAGTGATGATTATCATTTTATTTTTACAGTAATATATTTTGGATTTAGAACTTTTTTTTTTTTTTGGTCTTTTTGAGACAGGGTCTCCCTGTAGCCCCATCTGTCTTGAAACTTGCTATGTGGACCAGGCTGGCCTTGATTGAACTCACAGAGATCCGCCTGCCTCTGCCTCCGGAGTGCTGAGATTAAAGGCATACACCACCATGCCCAGCCTTAGGTTTAGAACTTTTATATAGAAAAATGGGAGAGCCTTAGGTTTAGAACTTTTATATAGAAAAATGGGAGAGGTGGGGGTTGTGTTTGAATGTTTGTGCATGAGTTCATTTCTTCTTCCTGGTCTATAGTCATTATCTCCAAAGGTAATAGTGAATAGTTTCTTAGGTGTCTCTTTCTAGAATATAATTTTATGCTGGTTTCAATGAGCATATTCATCCTATGAAATTTAGAATGAAAGAAACCTGTAATGATGCAAGTTTTCAACTTTTTTCATTCATTCATTTATGTATGTATATAGTTTGTGTGTGTGTGTGTGTGTGTGTGTGTATGTGTGTGTATGAGCACGCACATGCCACAGTGCGTTTGTGGATGTCAGAGGATAATTTGTCATTTCTCTCCTTCCACCATGTGGGTCCCAGGGATTGAACCCAGGTCATCAGGCTTGTCTTTCAGCAAGTGTCTTAACCTACTGAGCCATTTTGTTGGCTCTCAGCTTTTTTTTGAGTAACAGTGTACATTAGAGAGCCTTTTTATAGCAGCACTTACAGATTTGGTGCGTTCTTTTAAGGGCCATATGCTATTCTAAATAGTGTGTACCTGAATCCCCAAATTTCTTGTTTCTAGTTTGGGACCATTATAAACAATGCAGCATAGAACTTGGTTGCACGTCTGTTTTGACCTGCTTTTATTAAAATATCTGTGAGGACTGTGTCAAAGGGCGTGTGTGTTCTTAACATTTTTATTTGTATGTATATGTGCATGGGTGCCACACACTGTTAGCCTGTAGAGGTCAAGAGGACAGCTTGCTGGAGCTGGTGTTCTCCTTCTACTATGTGGGTCCCAAGGATCAAACTTAGATTATCAGGCTGTGGCCTTTACCCTCTGAGCTATCTAGAGGAGGCTATGTGTGTTTTAAATCCCTCCTTCTCTATGTTCTTCCCTCCTTCCTTTTTTTTCTTTTAAAGTATTTTTGAGACAGTTTTCCTGTAACCCCTTCTGACCTGGAACTCATTATATAGACCAGGGTGGCCTTGAACTCACAGAGATCTGCCTTCCTCTGCCTCCCAAGTGCTGGGATTAAAGGCGTGGGCCATGCCACTCAGGCCCTTCATTTGTTTTTTTGAGACTGATCCTCATGTAGCCCCTTGGCTATGTAGCCCAGGCTGGTCTTAAGCTGTTGTTCCTATCTAATTCTGAAGTGCTTCCCCTTCCCTCCCTCCCTCCCTTCTCACTCCCTCCCTCCCTCTCTCCTCCCTTCCCTTTTCCTTCCCTTCTTTTATTTTCTTTCAGCTGGATCTCATTATATAACCTGGCTGGCCTTGACTTTTTAATTAATTACTTAGTTAATTTATTATTAGTGTGTGTGCCTGGAGATCAGAGGACAACTTTTAGACTCTTTTCTTTATACTGTGGATCCTGAGGAGATCAGAGGACAACTTTTAGACTCTTTTCTTTATACTGTGGATCCTGAGGATTTAACTCAGGTTTTCAAGGTTGTATAGCAAGGACTTTTACCTACTAAATCATCTTGCCTGCTCAGACCTTGAACTTTAGGTCCTCTTGTGTCTACCTCCAGAGTACTAGGATTGCAAATGTATATCATCATGCCTAGGGTGTTCTAGTTTGTTTCTCCATTGCTGTAACAAAATACTCTGACCAATACCAACTTGGGGAGGAAAGGGTTTATTTGGTTTACATCTCCTGGGTCACAGTTCATCAGGGAGCCCAGGGCAGGAACCTAGAGGCAGGAACTGGAGCACAAGGCCTTGGAGGAATGCTGCTTACTGGCTTGCTCCCCTAGCCCATGCTCAGCCTGCTTTCTTACACAATACAGAACAACCTGCCCAGTGGCAACACCGCCCACAGTGGGCTAGGCCCTCCCACATCACTCAAAATCAAGAAATACACCACAGACATGACCACAGGCCAGTCCAATGGAAGAAATTCTCCAATTGAGGCTCTCTCTACCCAGTTGTGTCAAGCTGACAACTAAAGCTATCCAGCACAGATGTTTTTTAACTTTTGATAAAAATAGTCAAACTGTACCTGTACAGAAATCAACCAGCTGTATTTGAGGCTATATGTTTCTCCAGACCCTCACCAACAAACTGTTGGTAGTCTTCTGGGGGAAGTATTTTCTTGTTTTGATTTCTTCAATTATGACTGATATTTTGTGATTTCTTTGGTAACCTATAGTTATCGAAGCCTGTGTGGGAGAAAAAGCATCTAATAAGGCTAATTGGCAATCTTGACTGTTTTTAGAATAAATGGAGAAGTGCAGTTCCAAGGGAAGGAAGTTGTTTTTGCCTG